AAAATGAGAAAAAGGACCCATGTACGAAAGAGATTACATGGAATGCAACATGATTATCTTTTCTTGATTCAAGAACAAATGCATGCGAACAAGAAGTGCAAAAGATAATTCATTTACAAAATGTTGCAAATCAATTACCTGACGCATTCACAGATTCAAAGAAAGTGACAAAGTCACATATTCCAGCTATGAATGCTCCTGCCAGAATTGAAATTCCTTCAGAGAAAAATGAAAAAACTCTTGCAAATGAGTCTTCAATACGCAAAAAGCGTGGCAGACCACTTGGTTCAAAAGATGTAAAACCTAGAAAACTTAAAAGGCAAGAGACAATACTTGAAACAAAAGATGTTCAATCTTCAAAGAAAGAAAATGAACGAACCGAGCATGTTGATATAAAAAATAATATCAACGAACAATTTGTTTCCAATGAGGATTTAACCATCTCTAAAGATGCGAATAATTCAGATGAAGATAGAAACGTTGATAATTATGAGATTTCAATAAATTACGTTTCTACGGGATTACAATGGAACAGAAAAGATGTTCATGTTGATGATATATTCGCATATGCCATTGCCACAAACATCATGGATGAAAATGATGACATTGAGCCAACTTCAGTTGATGAATGTCGACGTAGCCATGATTGGCCAAAATGGAACGAAGCAATTCAGGCAGAATTGAAATCACTTGAAAAACGGAGTGTTTTTGGGCCCATAGTTCATACGCCAAAAGGCGTGAAACCAGTTGGTTTCAAATGGGTTTTTGTGCGTAAGCGCAATGAGAAAAATGAAATTGTGAGATATAAAGCCCGACTCGTTGCCCAAGGTTTTTCTCAAATTCCGGGGATAGATTATGAAGAAACTTATTTCCCAGTAGTTGATGCAACTACGTTGAGATTTTTGATAGGCATGTCTGTCTTTGAAAAACTTCAAATGCGTTTAATGGATGTAGTGACAGCATATTTATATGGATCTCTCGATACTGACATATATATGAAAGTTCCTGGAGGGCTAAAGATGCCTAAGGTTTATAGTTCAAAACCTCGAGAGATGTTTTCCATAAAATTGGAAAAGTCACTATATGGACTAAAACAATCTGGAAGAATGTGGTATAATCGTCTCAGTGAATATCTGCTCGGAGAAGGATACAAAAATGATCCAATTAGTCCATGTGTTTTCATCCGTAGATCTAAATCAGGCTTTTCCACAATTGCAGTATATGTTGATGATTTAAACATCATTGGAACTACTGATGAAATAAAAAACACTGCAATATATCTCATGAAAGAATTTGAGATGAAAAATCTTGGGAGAACAAAATTTTGTCTTGGTCTTCAAATTGACCATTTAAAAGACGAGATATTCATCCACCAGTATGGATAAAGCACATCCTCTCACATCCCCGATGATTGTTTGCTCTCTCAATGTACATGATGATCCGTTCCGACCTCGTGAAGATGATGAAGAAATACTCAGTCCAGAAATACCATACCTGAGTGCGATTGGAGCTTTGATGTATCTAGCAAACAACACTCGGCCAAATATTGCATTCTCAGTGAACTTTTTAGCCAGACACAGCTCGACCCCGACTAGGAGGCATTGGAATGGCATTAAACATATTTTGCGATATCTCAATGGTACCATCGACCTTGGTTTATTCTACCGCAAAGGTACCAAGGCCACTCTTGTTGGATATGCTGATGCAGAATATTTGTCTGATCCACAAAAGGCAAAGTTTCAAACAGGATGTGTTTACTTATGGCAATACCGCAATATCATGGAGATCGATGAAACAAACTTTGACTGCCACATCATCAAATCACGCGGAGTTCATAGCTCTCTACGAAACAGGTAGAGAATGTGTATGGTTGCGATCAATGATTCAACATATCCAGAGCGAGTGCGGTATAGAAACAATTACAAGTCATCCGACTCCTATATATGAAGACAATACTGCATGCATTGCTCAAGTGAAAGGAGGCTACATCAAAGGAGACCGAACAAAGCATATATCACCAAAGTTCTTCTCAACACATGATCTTGAGAAAGATGGAAAGGTTGACATCGAGCAAATCAAGTCCAGTGAGAACCCCGCTGATTTATTTACAAAAGCATTGCCCCAAAGAAATTTGAAGAACTCGTACACAAGATTGGCATGCATCGTCTCCGTCAATTATGCTAAGCTGAGGGGGAGAATTTTATGAATTGTACTCTTTTTCCCTTGATCAGGTTTATATCCCACTAGGTTTTTCCTGATAAGGTTTTAATGAGGCAGTACATAAAATTAGAATGGGTTTCTAAACTATACCCATCTCATAAAATACTCATCATCAATTGAAAAATGAACATTCAAGGGGGATTGTTAAGCAAAATATGAATTGTTCATTTATCAATTAATTAGGTCATACTCCATCATAAGTTGCAGGAATAAATTGTCCATCATCACCATCAAGTTGTCATTTGTATAGTATGTATACTATTTGTAATAGTGTTAGCACTAAGCCTCTCTACTATAAATAAGAGGCTTAGGATCCCTGTAAATCACCATTTAAGAACAAGAAAAAGATTGAAGAATCAATAGAGAGAAGAAATCAGAAACATATCATATTTATATTCATAATCTCTGAGTAGTTTTTTCCTCGTTTTATAATAGATATTTCATATTGATTACAAGGATGTAAAAATTTACCGATTGCACATTTGCACTTAGGCTATGGGGGATCGGGGGGAGTCGGCGTCGCCCATTTGGTAGCCGACCCCGATGGGAACACCGCTTCCCCGATCGGCTTTCGGTGTGAGAATGCTCTGCACGCCGAAAGCCCCAACTAACACATATCCCTTTCTTTTTTCTTTTCAATATTTGTCGGCTGCAAAACATTAAAAAAATTTAAAAAAAAATTCAAAACTGACCGTTAGGTCAAAAACATTTAGGGGCTGCTTGGCAACTTCTGAATAGGTAAGTGCTGAACCAGTAAGAGGTCTGAACCATTAAGTGTTGATATATTGCTTAACTATTCAGAGGCAAATGTCTGATCAATTCAGATAAGAGTTCTTAACCATTCAGACTCTGTATAATACTTAACCATTCAGAGACAAATCTCTTAACCATTCAGACATCTAAACCATTAAGAGGCTGAAACAAACAGTCTGAACCATTAAGTGTTGAACCATTCAGACATCTGAACCATTAAGAGGCTGAAAAAAACAGCCCCTTACTCTATTTGAAAATAAAATATACACTCAGATCATATTTGGTCTATGAACGAGTAATTTTTTTAATTCTAGTTTTTTTCATATTGTTTCTTAAGTATGTTTGTCATTATTTTAATTATGTATAAATCTTTAATTAATTAATTATGTACTTTTTTCCATAATTGCACTCTTTTATTAATAATGAATGAAATGCTTAATATAGATTTTTAGATCTTAAAGTGTCCATTTATTATTTAATGTTTTAGTTTATTCAATTATTTAAAATTAAAATATTAAATGTACATGAAATGTTATAAAAGTAGTATTTAAAAAAAAGAATACGGATGGAATGATGATGGCACCCCTGGATAAGAATGAAATGATGAAAGCTGATGTGGCGTTGAGTTGGAAGTGAAGATGGCGGGGATACTGATGATGGCACTCCATAGTCTTATAAGCATAACCAAATTCACAGTTATCATTTAAATAATTTTATTAACATATTCATCCTTATATGCGTAATTATTGTCTACCGAGTGGGAAGAAAATCATATTCAAGGGAAAAATAAAAAAACACATTTAGACCATGCTCTCTTCAATTTATTCTTATTATTTATTAGTTTTTCTTATTATAATTAGACCAGATCAGAAATAGTTTTAAATATAACCACAATTAGATCAGAACATATTTCAATCAACTCAGAATAAATCAGATCAGGTGAAGAGAACATGACTTTAATCCTATTTTATTTATTTTCTTTCCATCAACGTAACATACTTCTTTATCTCAACATGTGCCAAATGTTGCACGTTAATCTTTGAATTTCTTCAAGAGCAATGACTTTGTAAGTAGATCAACTGGATTTTCAAAAGATTTGGTTTGAGGGATGCTAATCTTCCTTTCTTTCTCTAGGTCGTGTATAAATTTTTTTTGGTGATATGTGTTTCGTCCTGTCTCATGTGACGTAACCCTCGTTCTAGAGTGCTGCATGTTCTAATGTCTTCATAGATCGCAAACTCACAATAGGATTAAGATGATGGTTTCAGCATTCATGTTATATGCTTTGAATCATGGATTGCAACTACACATATTCATGTCTAAGCTTAATAGACATGAATTCCAGATAGTTTGATGGCATGACATTCAAAGTTTGTTTCATGATCTCCATGAGATTAGGGTATCACCATAAGTAAACAAGTATCGTGTCTTTAATTTTGCCATTTCTGAATCTCACAAGTATGCGGTGTGTGAATATCCTGTCAAAGTGGCATTTGAACATTTGTGGTAGAATAGACCAAGATCGACCATACCACAAAGATAATGAAATTTATGGTTCACGTCATTCATGCCTCCTAGGTGGGGATGAACTCTGTCTAGCCAATAAGTTTATGGAAATACAATATTTGTTCACGTATTGTTGGTTGAATAATGCATCAGAAGCACTTGAATAAGGAAAAATGGTGTACTTCAAGGCCAAAAAATTCATTATTTTCACGAGAACAGAAGGATCATCATGCACGTCAAGAGAGCAAACCACCATTGAAGCAGTTAACGGGCAAGTGTATCCATGTAAAATCTCTTCAAAATTTTCATGGTGTAATTTGATTGATGAACAAATTTAACAAAATGTTATAACATATTAATAGGTAAATGCTGCACGTACATCACACTTACACCAAACCTTACATTTTGAACTACAAAGACAAATCTTGCCTCTTACACACTATTTATAAACAAACAAAATATGTCAGTGTAGCTCAAAGTTATAAATGTGGTTCAACTTTGGTGTAAGTGCCGTGTGCATGCAGCATTTTCCATATTAATACGAGTGCTAGCTAGGCTGATCAGAACAAGATGTAGATCTATAAGATGCAGATCTATAAGCAGTTAAATTCCATATTTCCAGATAAATCCAACAAGTGTACTTATGTAAGCAAAAGGAGTGCATTAGCTAAAAGTTGAAAAAACATCTGATGGTAGTTCACATATAGCTAGGGATCGCCTGACATGATATCAGCTGGAACCGGGGTCAAGCACGGGGATTCGGCAATGGAGACTAATTGATTTGTCCGTTTGTCGCGTACCTGGAATGAAGAATTGAAATATCAAGGTCAAGCAACCACCTTGAGGAGAGATCCCATAGAAAGCACAGTCAGGCTTAGCCAAGTGACACTGAAGAGACTTGAAGAAGTGCTTCACGCTAACGTGCACCATCATGCCATCCCCCTTTTGAACTGCCATCCGCGCTCGGGATTGAGCTGTCAAATCGTGGTCCGATGATGGAACCGCTGCTTGTTCACCAATGACCAGTAGCTTCCTGAACTCGGCACCCAGGGTTATCAAAGTGGTAGAAATTTGGAGGTGGAGATCCCCGTATTTGCTAATGCAGACACTTAGCACATCTCCAACGTGCTTCATTCGGTCCACAAAGTTCTGTAACAGGTTCATGTCCGGGACATGAACAAGAGTGGGGGGCAAATCTTGAGCTCCATCAAGGGCTGCTTGCAGCTCCACCACATCCCCTCTAGACAAAGGCTTAGAGATGGGAACATCTTGAATCACAGCAGATCTGTAGCCTTTGGTCTCGAAAGTGAGAAAGGGCATAGGCTGTTGAGAATGAGGAGGAAGCTTCTTCACCAGCTTGATCTGAAGGCGGTTAGAGGTATTCCCGCCAGAGAACTCTGTGTAGATACTGATGACACTGCGAAGGGCACGCTGGAGGAGGGTAAGGTCAATGGCAAAGGCGATGCGATCGTCGTTCTGGCTAGAGATCCTGTAGTCATCAAAGAGCGCTTCTTTGCGGAATTGAGCAATGGAATGGATGCCGTCGTTGTTAAGGAGGTTGTGAAGGAAAAAAGCATTGTCTCTGGTTAGATAGAGATGGCAGACTTTCCCCATCTTTTCAAGGGCCGGTAGGAACCTCTTCTCTAACAGGTTCACGCCATTATCGGTGAGATAAGCCTTGAACTTCATTGGGTTCGGTGAACGCTGCTACAGAGTCAGGAAAAAGATCAGATCAGAAATTCACAGTTGATTGAAACAAATTGATGAGAATTCAAATTTTTAGAAGAAAAGAAGATTTGCGGGCTGGGCATTTCATCGAACAGTTTCAGTACAGCATACAGAATTCAATTCACGGCCAGATTCTAAAAACTCAGATCATAAATAGATGGCGACATTGGGAGGGATTAAACAACTTTAGGTAATTTAAAGGCAATCCATGCAGATACAAACAAATAGGGAGAGAAAATACCAGTTCGATCAATGCTAGCTTTTGAAGTTCTACTTCAGATTCATATGGCGGTAGATGAAAACGGAGGCGGTAAATTTTAAAACTGACTTTGGCACTGTTGGCGGTTTGTGTAAAAGTCAAGAGCTTTCTCCTCAATTTATCCTTACCTGATTGATTTTATACGAATCGATTGAATTTTAATCTAATTTAAGGCCCCGTTTGGTATATGGAATTCAAACTATGGAATTGGAATTGAGGACTTCAATTTCAATTCTGGTGTTTGGTAGCACAAAAATTATGTGGATTTGGAATTGATAGTGCAAAAAATGAATTAGAATTGGTAGAATTCAATTCTATGGAATTAAATCACATGGAATTTCAATTCCAATTTAATTCCAATTCCACCAAACGAACCCTAATTGTAATTATATTTAAAATTATTTATGATTTAAATAATTAGTAAAAAGAATATGTTGGAGAGAAAAAACTTCTAAATTGAATCTCATTGAAGCACGTAGGAAGATAAGAGATGTGCTAATAATGTAGGGAGTAACAAAGTAACTATCAAACTAAATACAAAAATCAAATTGAACCGAACCATTGTGGTTTGGTTTCAATTTTGGTTTTGGACTTTCAAATTCGAACTAAACCTTTTTAAAATAAAGTATACTCTTTACCAAAAAAAACAAAGTATACTATTTACCAAAAAAACAAAGTTAACTAAGAATATGTGAAAAATATTTTGTTCGATTGCATTTATTTTTTCTATCTTTTATTCATATACTTCATATTAATATTCTATATTTTGGTCACACATTTTTTTAGTGAATCTTTCTTTAAATATTATTCCCTCTGTCCCAATTTTTTCTTTAAATATTCTGTTTCGGTTTATTTGAGCTAGTCAAATAAGTCATCGATTCGCATTAACGGATAATGGTTCTTGACGGTGGCTTTGTTCAATTGCCGATAGTCAATGCACAGCCTCATGGATCCATATTTCTTCTTAACAAAGAGGACCGGTGCTCCTCACAGGGATACACTCGTCCTGATGAATCCCTTATCCAACAATTCTTGCAGCTGAGCCTTCCGCTCCTTCATCTCCGCAGGTGCCATGCGGTAAGGTGTCGCAGAAATCAGCTCCGTTCCCGGAACCAAATCAATTGAAAATTCCACCTCCCTAGGCGGCGGCAAGCCAGGAAGACCGTCAGGGAATACATCGGGGAAATCACACATGGTAGGGATGTCTTTCTACTATTATTTGGCATTGCATCATTGTGTATTCGTAAACTTCTATTCATCATATTTGTATGTGGTAACTCGTACTTTAGTACATGTATAATTATGTTTATATCAATGTGAATGTACTATGCGTTCTACTGTTAGATCAACACTCAGCTTTTGCTGAGCGTATAGCATTGTTTTTGCTATACGCAGGTAGGCAAGACGAACATGGAGCCTGACCCGGATGATTGGGAGATCGGGGCAGTGGATCGACGACAGTGGGGACCTGATTAATTATCCATTTAGTAATAAAAATATTTTGGGCTTGAACCCACCATTGTCGTACTTCTTTATTTATGACTTGACGTTTATTATATACAATACTACTATTATGAGACATTTCCTTTAAAGTAATTCATCACCATCATTTAATAAAATATATCAAGAGTTTTCAGTTACAAGAGCAACGCAAGGGTTTACTTTGTGGATGGTCCTAAAAACCGTCTACGTAACCTCTCCGGCTCGTTGGGTCGTGGCAAACCGGGTTTGCGGGACGGAGGGTGTTACAATAGTGAATTCTACTCTTCTATATTTTCATAAAATAGATGATGATCCATGCTATTTGCAGGACCATGCGATTTTGGCTCCAACCTTGGATGTTGTTGATTCTATAAATGAATATACGACATCAATGAATCCAAATGAGGAATCACACACGTATCGTAGTTTGCACAAGGCCATTAATTTGGACTCTAATTTGAAATTTTTATCACTTACATACTCTCAAGTTCTTAAATAAGATTCGTGCTTCCGGAGTACCAAATCATGAGCTCATTTTGAAGGTAAGCACTCCGATCATGTTGTTAAGAAACATTGGTCATTCGATGAGTTTGTGTTGTAACACCCTAATCCGTCCAGGTCTGTAGCCCCTTTCGGACTAAAGTATTTAACTTGGTAATCGTAAAAATTTAAAACTTTTCAAACACACTTTACTAATCCCAATAATATTTTTCATAACATATACAGTACGGAGTATTCAACAATATTGCGGAAGCGAATTTAATATTGACATATCATAAATCATTTCAAACTTGTCACATCCATCCCGAGAATCTCGCCCCATCTGCCACCAGGATCACATTGTTCTTTTTGTTTACCTGCGTGTAGCAAATAAAACACACTACACGCTCAGCGGTAAAGCTGAGTAAGCATATCTAATGCGTCGAACATCCATATAAACTGAATCTAAATTCATAATCAAATCATTTGATATCATGCACACAATGTTCATTTCAATCATTCACAGTTTTGGTATTGTTCAATTCATATCAACACATTTTATTCAATTCAGATACTATTTCAATAGTGCTCTTAAATTATTCTTAATCTAAGGCCAGATCAAAACAATGTTCTTAGCTATTCTTAGTCTAAGGCCAGATCATAATAATGCTCTTAGCTATTCTTAGTCTAAGGCCAGATCATAATAATGCTCTTAGCTATTCTTAGTCTAAGGCCAGATCATAATAATGCTCTTAGCTATTCTTAGTCTAAGGCCAAATCATAATAATGATCTTAGCTATTCTTAGTCTAAGGCCAAATCATAATTTCCATAATCAGATTCTTAAAAGACAATTACTAATCAGACACTTAAACTATCATTAGTTTAAGGCAATTGATTTCGGACACTTAACTGTAGTCAGTTAAGGCAATCAGACACTTAAACTATCATTAGTTTAAGGCAATCGATTTTGGACACTTAACTGTAGTGAGTTAAGGCAACAACAATATAGCGAATGGTCAACATTGGATTGGGCATTCCCAAACGAGTAATCCTCTGGTTTGGTCTACTAATCCCGTTTATGCATTTTTATTTAATTCATCAACTATTCATGTTTTCATAAGTTCATCCTAAAATCTATTCTAGAGGTCTTCTAGATAGTCTTAACATCAATTAGCTAATAGGTATATCTTAAAATCTTTTAGATATCCTTAACAATACACATCATTTTCTTGTTGATCAATTTATTCATTTTGAATTATGGTTCAATAATTCATAATCATAATTTAGTTCAAGATAGTCAAACAAACATATCTATTCATAATTTCATCTTTACGGTTCTTTCGTTCAATTCCATATATTTTTATTTGTCATAATAAAATCATGATCGTTATGTAGTTATAATTACTCGGGTCATCCATTTGATCATCATAATCAATATTTATTATCAATGATATTCCATTATCCATTATAATAACCATTTATTCACGATGTTATCAAGATTTGATTATAAAAAGTGATAATGTTTTATATGTCAAAAACATCATTTTTATTGTACAAAATCATATTTATATTGTTCATAATTAATTAGTGTCAAAAATAGGATTTTATAGCTTCAAAAATAGCATTTTCGTATTGAAAAATGTTCGTAACGGTCGACCGTTAGGTCCGAACGGTCGACCGTACCGTTCTGAAAATTTTCTTCTTCTTACGGTACCTAGTAACAGTACCTAGTCACGGTACCAGGGTCCCGTATCAGCACAGATTTTACTATTCATCATCTTCCTCCTTCGGCCATTTTTCTCAAGCTTTGTTTTAGGTTACCAAACTTCAATTAAACTATATAGAAATGTTCTCCAAGGTTCATAGATCATTTTAGAGGCATCAATTCAAAGTTTTAACAACAAATTCGAGGTTTATGATTCTTGGTTCTTCAAACATGTCCAACACAAAACTCAACCAAATGACCATTTATGAACGTAGAAACGATCTATACGAACATTCTAAACACTAGATATATCTACGGGCTTACCTCGGAGCTAAACGATGATTCCGGCGATTGGACGGCGAAACTTCCGGCGAAAACCACGGCTTGCTCCGGCGACCTCGACGACAATTACTACTATCAAATTACTCGCTTCACGCTCTAGATTCTCATGGGACGAATTTCAGTAAGTTTTGTGTAGATTTGAGAAAAATGAAGGAGTCCATTTATAGCAAATTGCAGAAGGAAATAGCCCAGTTTTGTTGAGTCATTCGTGACTCACACTTGGGCTTAGTGGTTTCAACGGCAATATGTTCCGATTTCCTACGCCATTTCTGATTGGGACCAATTTTGGTTCCAGTCGGGGTACACTTTTCGGTCCAACTTTCTCCGAAATGAGTTTCGTTTGCACCGTTGCGATCACACAGTTAAACTCTATCCAACAATATAATTTTTGTAATACTTTTTCGGACACCATATTTTTGGGTGTTTGACTTTGATAGAGTCAAAATTGGTTTAATTGACCTTTCTCATAAAAGGTTCTCTTATTTAATTCATATCAATTATTCTCATGATTTATTTCAATAAATCATTACAAAGTTCACATCATAATTTATTTATTTATTCTTGATTTGGGTCTGTACTCAGGTTTCCAATCATGTTCACAAAAATATTCCACATATTGGATTTATCCCAATGAGACTTATCCAGATTTTGATATTGGATATTAAAAAATATTTCATATCGGCCCAAAGCCCAATAATAATTTATTTTAATCCACACAAATTTGATTAGTTGAATAATTATTCATTAATAATTCTAGGGTGTGTTTTGGGTCGTTACATGTGTAATGGTACACGATTGATAGTAACTCGGTTCCCTAATCATTCGATACAAGGGAAGATATTGTCTCGAACACACATGGGTCAAGAAGTTGTTATTCTAAGACTATCACTGACACCATCAGATGCAAGAATATCATTCAAGTTTCAAAGAAGACAATTCCATGTGGTTACTTCATATGTAATGACATTAAATAAGAGTCGAGGCCAATAACTAGAACATGTCAGATTATTGTTACGCAAACTAGTGTTTAGTCATGGACAATTAGATGTTGCGGTTTCAAGAGTAACAAATCGTAATGGCTTGAAGATTCTTATTGACG